GGCATGCATGTAAGGTGTTGAAACAAGAAACCTGGATTCAAGTCGCTAGCTACTTCTCTCACTAGCTGCTTGAGCTTAAGTAAGTCACTTATCTTTGCTGATTCTCAGCTTTTTTCCCATCTGTAAAATGGGACTAACAATTTCAGGATAAAGGATATTGTCTTAGTCTGTTTGGGCTGCTATTACAAAATATCATAAACTGGGTGGTTTATAAACAACAAAAATTTATTTCTCACAGTTCTGGAGGCCGGGAAGTCCAAAATCAAGGCACCAGCAAATTCATTGTCTGGTGAGAGCCCGCTTACTGGTTCATGGACAGCCATATCCTCTCTTGGTAGAATGGGCAAGTCAGCCCTCTGGGGCCTCTATAAGGGCACTTCCCAAAGACCCCACTTCCTAATACATTGGAGATTAGTTTTCAACATAATGAATTGGGGGTAGGAGGGGCATTCAGACCACAGCAGGTATAAACCGGCTTTGTTCACTAAAGTCCTGTACAAATATGAGGAATTATAGAAAAGGGGACCAAGGACCAAGGAGAGTATATATGGCTGACTCAAGGTAACATATTCTCACTCTGGAAATTGGTACTCAAGGCATTCCTATGAATGCGCAATCTTGCCCCTGCAGATTCCTGTTTTTGAAGTCAAACAGGCTTGGGTTCCAGCTCAGGCTTTGTTCTATTAACCAGTTACTTTGGTTCTCTGAGCCTATTGGAGTGTCCCTAAGAAACCTTCCTAACAGGGCTGTTGTGAGGATTAAATAATGTGAGTCTCTGACACATCATTGACACTTAGTAATTAGAGGCTGTTCTTACTGTGATGGATCTCTGGAGGTCTCCTTTACCCAAAGTTCAGATACCTTTTAGGGCTTTTCTACCTTTACAAAGCCCTGTCACTTTTCTACATGTTAAGGCTTCGCTTGTGTTCCAAAACATAGTTTCCATCTGAAATGTTTAAACTGGAAAAACGATTTGTTTTTGCCAAATTTCTTCTGTTTTTAATAGCCTGAAGAAGCAAGCCCATCCCTTTGAGCTGTAAATTGCATTTCAAAGCCTGTGTCCCTGGCGAGTTTTAATGAGCGTAAGAGCCCAGCTTTTATGCAGCAATTATTTCTCTAGCAGGTAAAGGTGAAGACACTTACTTGGGAGCTAGTCCCATTTTCTCAAACATAACATGTTTTTGAGATTCTGTGCCCACTCCCAGCTCCTCACTGTCTTGGGGGGACCTGTCTCTTACCAGCCCAAAAGGAAAAGTGGAATATGAGAACCCTAAATTTAGAGTCAGAGGACCCATGGGGTAATCCTGCCTCTGCTACTCACTAGCTATGGCATCCTGGCCAATATCCATGGGTCATATAAGCTTCATGCTCACTAAGGTCCCTACTAATCTGACATTGCAGAAGTCTCTAGGAACAAATCTGGTTCTCTCTCTCTCTCCCCCTCCCCTGCCCACCACCATCAAGAATAATCCCTCTACCTACCTCTCCTGAGCTCATTGCTAAGCAGGGGCCTCTGGGAGGCTACAGACACCTTGCTTTCCATTACACAGCTTATCTGTGAGGCAGAGCTTGGCCCAGGAGGGGAAATACCTTATCAAGTCAGGCAGCTTCTGCTGAATAGGATGTCGATATTTTCTAGGGCTCCCACTCTAAGTTAGGGGGAAGGTTTGTAAAGCATAGGAAGAATTGGGTTGTGGGGTTGAGTTAGCGAATGGTTGATCTGTGGAGGTGGGTGTTTGGGTCAGAGATTAGAAAAGGGTGCCTGTGGGGCCGGCCCGGTGGCGCACTGCTACAGTGCGCCGCTTGAGAGCGTGGTGGCGCTCCCGCCAACGGTTCGGATCCCACATACAGACCGGCTGCTCACTGGCTGAGCGAGGTGCGGGCGCAACACCGAGGGTTGCGATCCCGTTGCCGGTCCCGGTCTGGTACGGGCGCGACACTGAGGGTTGCGATCCATTGCTGGTCACGAAAAAAGACAAAAAGGAAAAAAAAAAGAAAAGGGTGCCTGTGAACATCTGCCCCCACTATTCCCCACCACTCAAGGCAGGCCTCAGCTAGCCCTTCTTACCACCTCCTGATATCCTTGCCATTTCTTTTCTAACATTTATTCAGCACTTACTGTGCCCCAGCCTTTGTCAGACTTGCTTCTAACATTTGCAGGGTAGAGTAAGAGTACAAATGAGGACCCATGTACCATGTGTCAAATATTTGAAGGTTATAAGTGAAGCTAACAAATTGTGTTGTTTATAACAACTTGGAAGACCATGTCTGAATTTAGAATTCTTGGACTCTTTGGGATTCTATACCTAAACGTGACGATTCAGGGAGATCTAGTCTGGGCCTGCCCTCTTTTCATTTTCTACCCCCAATTCCATCCCTCACTTGGACATTGTGTGGTCAGTCAAACCTTTCTATGTCCTCACAGATACATGTCCCCTTGGGCTTAGAGAATCTGCATAACCTGCCCTCCAAAAGAGTGTGCAGACCTTGAAAGCAGATTGGGGGCTGTTTAGATAGGGAGTTCAGGGGTTGGGTACCTAGAGCATGCTGCAGGTGGGCCTTCATATTCCTCACCTAGACCAGCCATACGTATACACTTCCTAAGTCTCTTCTCTACAGATCAGAAATCTAACTTTAATGTGAAAACTAACTTTCACATGGCTTCTGGCTGCCTCTCCTTGGCATCATACAGAATGTGCTCCAGTCTGACCCTGACCTTCATCTAGAATGAGCCCACAAATGTCATTGTTAGTAGAATAGAGAAGTGTTTGTGGTCTGAGTAATTATGAAATCTTTAAAGGGCTTCACAGTTTGCAAAGTCCTTTTATGTACGTTGTCTCAAACCCCAGGTGATAAGAGAAAAGACTGAGTAGGGCCAAACTTTGCTTACCAGCCAAGAAGTAAGTGCTGATCTCTCCACAGTACCAAGCACAAGTGCTAGCACCAGCAAATGCTTCCTGCTCAGTGGTATTAGAGGCTCCTGGCGGACATCTGAGGGAACTCACAACTGTCATGTCCCTGCCAGGTCCATGGCAGAGCCAGCAGTCATCAACAGATCTCTGAACCATCATCCCTCCCTCTTCTCTTTCTATGTCAGTCCACACACCAGGCCTGCTTGGCTCCCTCCCGCCAAGGCAGGTGGCATCTTCTTCGGCCAAAACTTCATATCTCTGAGCTGAACCACCCAGGAGAGAATCATCTGATGCCCACAGAGACCCATAAACTTCTTGTATACCCATGGGTGGATGAGGAATTGATCTTTGAAGCTTGTCATCCAGGTAGGAGAGGGACTGTCAGAATTGTGAGGAATGGAGAGTCCAAGGGGACCACCATGCATTGAGCATTTCCTGCTGCATATGGACAGCATGTTAGGTGTTTTCATGGGTAATCTCCTTTGTGTACTTCACATAACTGATAATGATTGGAGTAACAAGAATCTGTCCCTTCCAAAAGTCTGTCATTTCCAAAGCTGGCACTAACCCCTTCATCAGTAGCAGTTATGGCATCCTCTCAGCCCCCTTCTCTCATCTAGATGGTGCACGCCTAATCCCAGTATATTATCCACTGAGCTTACTGCAAGCCGTCTTAAGAGCATTTTCTTCCTCAGAATCAGCCTCATGTCTAGCCTATGATTTCCTTGTAAACAGTGCCACCTGCTGGTCAGAAGGTGCTAGGTTCCAGGCAGGAAGGATTTAGGAGAAAAGGGTTGCTAACCCTAGTGGGACAAAAGATAGACTTTCCTTCTCAAATTCACTGAATAGAAGCCCCCCTGCCCCCAAATATTAGGTAAATAGGCTGGTAGGCTAATGAGAGTTTTTTGTACACGTTGTTTGGTGTCTTTAGCATCTTCTGAAATGGCTGTAGGGTAGGGTATTGAGATAGTGAGTTGCACCAACCCAAGCCAACGAGCCGAAGACTGAACCAGAAAGTATAAATGCCAGGGCTTAACTTTAGGCTTTTCTTACTGAAACTGAGCCTTTTCTCTCTTTCTCCCCAGAGCCTATGCCCAGGTGTAACCTGTCCAGGGACGGGATAGGTTTGTGCAGTGCTTTGGGGTAAAAGACATTGCCAGAGTGTAGAGAGCAAAGAGTAGGTGCAGTCTAATTTCTAAACCAAACAGAACAAAATCTGAATGTGTAAGTATAAAAAAATTCTTAGATAAATCTGCTGACTTAGACTGTAGTATTTAAGTTGGCGTTAGTTCTGGGAAGCAGAGTGGTAAAGTTGAAAGAAATGGGCTTTAGGTACTGACTGATCTGGGTTTGAATGCCCGTTACTATGCTAGTTAATGAACTTTATCAGAGTCTCAGTTCCTGGAAAAATATGGATAATAATTATAATACTCACTTGTGGGGTCTTGGGAATATTGTATGCCATCCATAGCCCAGTGAATGCCCAGTAAGGCTTATTTAGCACACCTTTTTCAAAATGGCCAGTACCAATAATGACAGTCATAGCTTGGTCTATGTCTGAATCAGATTGAATGATTTTCATAATATGGTATGTTCCGAGTAGCATTACTTGCAATTACCATGAGACCTCTTTGCCATAGCTCTACATTGAAGGAATAGAAGAAAAGCTGTAGAAGATCTTCACATTTAGATCCTGAATCGGGTAACCTTTGAGATGAGCATGTAAAAAGGGGTGGGCTCAAAAGAATTGGAGTCAAGTAGACCAGCGTTCAAATTCCAGCCTTGCCATTCACTAACATTGTGACCTCTCTGAATGTGAGATTCCTCCCTTATAAATGTTGTGGCTTTACTTACCATGTGAGTACCAAATGAGGGGACATGTAAAGCACCCACCATGAGGTCAGCAGCCAGTAAGTGGTAACTCTTGGTAATATAACAAGAAAACAAGAGCTGAAACAGGAAGGCTGGATGCTGCAGGAGTGTGTGTGTAGGAAATCAAGCAATCCAGCATAGTCAGGATGGTGGGTCATGGGCAGCCCTTGAGCCCAACTATGGACCCAGCCTCACAGTGGCTCTCTCTTCTTCCAGGTGGCCACCATGTCCTTGAAGATACAGACAAGCAATGTAACCAACAAGAATGACCCCAAGTCCATCAATTCTCGGGTCTTCATTGGAAACCTCAACACAGCTCTGGTAAAGAAGTCAGATGTGGAGACCATCTTCTCCAAGTATGGCCGTGTGGCTGGCTGTTCTGTGCACAAGGGCTATGCCTTTGTCCAGTATGCCAACGAGCGCCATGCCCGGGCAGCTGTGCTGGGAGAGAATGGGCGAGTGCTGGCTGGGCAGAACCTGGGTAAGCCTCTCTCCATAGTATTCTTCAGAGTAGCTGCTGTCCTTCACTCTCCAGTTCCCTTTTTAGCCCTCCATCTCCATCCTCCTCCCCAACCACTGCTGTGAGATTTTGTAACTTAAATAAATTGAAGTTATAAATTAAGTAGTTATAAAATTGCTGTGTATAGGGGAGAATTTTAGATGCCCCTGGAAAACACTTTTGTACTGTTCCTGCTTTCTCAGTGCTTCTTAATGATAAGCTTTATGGTTCTATTTAAAATGCAGATTCCCCAGAGAAAAGGTACAGAGTGGACTAGCACAGCCTGTTACATTGGGCTACAGATGACTTAGGTTAGAACTCTTTTTGAGAGCCAGCAGGATGGGCTGGGAGCACAAGGACAAAGCGGGTATCCTTGGTCTTCATGTTACGTATATGTCATGTGACCATGCTAGTAGTCAGCCTTGGAGTGTGTACAGTGTTTGTATATGTGCACATACTTCTGTGTATATGTGTCTAAGAAGGGATATCTATATATGTATTCCTGAATACAAGGTATATGGATGAGTTTGAACATGTGGAGAACATGTGGATACATACCTTTTTATGTGTTGGTGTAGTGTGTGTCAGAATATACTTAAATGTGAACAGATATGCATATATTCATTTCCCAGATATCTATCCTGTACACCATTCTAGCCATAAAGATGTTTGGTAGAATATCCGTGTGGATGTGCATTGACTCATTTGCATATGGGCAATTATGCCTATGATGTTGTAGCCAATTCTGAGTATACTTGAGAGTACTTAGGTTATGTGTGTGTGACTTTCTTACCTGGTTATGTAAACGTGTGTGAGCAGGTGTCTGTATGTGTTTCTGTGTGCCTGACGTGTGTTTCCATGAGTGTACTTGATAATGCACATAGGTATGGTGCATATGGCATGTGTGTGTGTGTGCATGTGTGTGTGTGCGTGTGTGTGTTTGTGTGGGCACTGCTGTCGTGCCAGCATTCCAACTCTGCCTCCTCCCTCCACACAGACATCAACATGGCTGGAGAGCCCAAGCCCAACAGACCCAAGGGGCTAAAGAGAGCAGCATCTGCCATATACAGGTGGGGCGCTCTGTCTGTCTGTCTGTCTGTCTGTCTGGGTGGAATGGGTCCCTCTTTGCGAAGAGGGAGTAAACGCTGGTGTGATGGTGTGCTGAGCCTAGAACTTGGGGAGACGTTTGGAGTTGAGAGCCTGTGGAGAATGGGCTGAGTGGCCATACCTAAGCTCTGGCCCTCTCCCCTTTGTTTCCCCAGTGGCTACAGCTTTGACTATGATTACTACCGGGACGAGTTCTACGGCAGGTGAGCAGGGGAGGGGCGTGCCCAGGCATGAAACAGCCAAGCTGGAAGGGTCCTGAGAGATTGCTGGTGCAGCCCACTCAGGTGTCCAAATGAGAACAAAACCCAGAGTTGTGGACAGGTGTTTGTCCGAGGTTGCCCACAATTCAGTGGCAGAGCTGGGACTAGAGTCCAGTTCCACAGGTGCCCACGTCAGAGCTCCTACCACCACACCACGCAACACACTTTGTCTAACATTCTGACTGCCCTTTTTCTTCCTAGTCCTGTGGTGAGACTTGAGGGTACTGGACAGCCAAGGAATGTATGAACATAGCCAGTTGGAATACACAACAGGGTCCAGCATCAGTAGCAGGGAGTTTAGGCCCTCCTACTTCTGCTTTTTAGTCTCCTTACTTTTCAGGTGCCCAGCCAGCTGGAAGGAACCCCAGAGCTCATTCTGAGCCTCTTGGCTTTATGATTATAGCCAACAAGCCAGCAGCCCTGAGGTCTGAATTAGTCTCTAGTGGGCTGTGTCCTACCCTCCAACCCCAAGCCCACCCAGAATCCAGCCTTGAGGCTGTGGGTTCCCACTCTAGCAGCAGTAGCTACATTCTTGAGTGGAAGTCATGGAGGAGACTGACCCAAACTTCTCCTCCTTTCCTCCCTTCCTCCAGCTCAGCCCACCCCCACCAGCAGCCTAGGAAGAATAGAACCTTTTTGAGCTTCGGTTTTCTCATCTGTGAATGATTTCAGGAGACAGTGGTGTGGTGGGAAGTGCTCTAGCCTGGGAATCAGAAGACTTAGGTGCTAATGTCAGCTCTGCCACTGAATAGATTATGTGACTTTGGGCAAATCCCCTGCCCAGTCTGTGGAATAGGCTTGCATCAAGTGATCTCTCAGGGCCCTTCCAGCTCTGGGATTCTGTGGTTCAGTGATTCTGACCAAGGCCAGAGCCGCCCCCTCCCCTTGGGGGCAGAAATGCAGGATTGAATCCAAGGTTGGATCCTTTCCCAGAGACTCTCTGTCTCCAGCCATCACCATCCCTAGGGCAGGGGCTTCCTGAACAAAGGCATGCCAAGGAATGGGACATTGAATTGCCCAGTGATGGCAGGTTTCCTGGCTGTCATCAGGAGAGTGGTCCCAAAGTGGAACTGCTGAGGCTGTGGTTCCCTGCAGAAAGGGTTGGGAGAGACTCCTTCTCAGCCTGCTAAGTTTCTGCTGGTCAGCAGGAAAAGAAGCCATTCTGGAGAGGGCTGTGTGATGGCTTTGGGGACACAACACACAGTCTGGGAGCCCTGAGGTCGATTGAGCTCCTGAACCTTGATACCCTGCAGGCCCATGGCCTCTATCTCTGAAGTGGAGCAGGAAGGGTGGGGTGATTAAGGAGGCCCAGAATAAGGAAAGGGCTTAGAGTCTAGCCCCATCATGTCTCTGAGGTCATGGTCCCTTCACCTGTCATTCCTTCTAAGGTGTGTTTTTATTAACAAGTTATCTTATGCTGTACCCTCACAGCAGACTTGGGTAGACACTGAATTTGGGTAGCCATCCTCATTAGGTAGGTGGGGAAACAGGCTCAGGCAGGCTCAGGGATTGGCCTCTATTCCCATACTTCCATTCCTAGCTGGGGATTTGTGCTACTTTGAGGAGATTTGCAAACTCAAACTCTGACCAGAGATTGGGGTGGCAGTTGACTGAGCAGAAGCCAGGTCATGTAATACAGCAGGCCTGGGTGTCAGGACAATCTAGGGGGCCCTTTTCTGGGGCTAGTCTGTTTGCTACTCTGTTGAATTAGGGTATAACCACTACCATCTTCTGCCTCATCACCCTTACCTGGCTTGGCTGGTAGGAGAGGTGGATGTAGTGAGGATCCCCGCAGCCATCAAGGTCCAGAAAGCCCATCCTCCTCACCCCAGGGCTTGTTGGGAGCAGGCAGAGGTGTGTAGTGCAGGCTTTCTGGCCCCTCACCAGCCACACGCATTGGGCTAGAGCCACAGTGTCCCCTGGTGGCCATGGGCCATGCTGCAGCCTCTGGCCCCTTTGCCCTCACAGGCTCTTCGACTATCGGGCCCGCCTGTCACCGGTGCCAGTGCCCAGGGCAGTCCCTGTGAAGCGACCCCGGGTTACAGTCCCTTTGGCTCGGCGTGTCAAAACTACCATACCAGTCAAGCTCTTTGCCCGCTCCACTGCCATCACCACCGGCTCAGCCAAGATCAAGTGTGAGTGACTATATTTTCTTTTTAGATAATTTGTATTTTTACTATTAGCAAAATAATAGAATCACATTTTTTTACATTGGAAAATAGATAAAGGAACAAATCTCCCACAGTTCTGCAGCTCAAACACAACCAAGTGAGTATTTTCATGCATTTCTAAGAGGAAACGGCTGACATTTGAGGAGGAGGGGCTTGGGTTGGGCACAGAGAGTCCAGTGCTGTGACATGATGCCCAGTGAGGCGATGGTGTCATCTTTCCTCTAGAAAGGACAAGGACATGTCTATACAGGCCCACTGCTCCACATTCACTGCAGTCAGGCACCCAGGAAATCTGATTGCAAAAGACCCACATTTACACATGTTGGAGACAGACCTCATCCTATAACACAAGTAAAGACACATGGTCTTGCTCAGATGCACACAGAGGAACATACCACATACCTGCATTCCTGTTCATCTGCTGCCCCTTTCTGAGTTGAGAGGTCTAGGGAAAAGATAGCCAGGTTTAGAAGTGTGGCTGGTCACTATGGGGGTGGCCTCCAGAAAGTCTCAGGAGGAGGCCTTTTCCCTGGATCGGAAAAGAACCAAAAAAGAACTGCCTTCCTGGTTGACAGAATGGGTTTTGGGTTTTGTGTTAGTGTCAAGCCCCTAGGCCTCCGATGACAGCCCTGTCCCCCCCTCCACTCCCAGTAAAGAGCAGTGAGCTGCAGACCATCAAGACAGAGCTGACACAGATCAAGTCCAACATCGACGCCCTGCTGGGCCGTTTGGAACAGATTGCTAAGGAGCAAAAGGCCAACCCAGGTCAGTCGCTGAGAGTTCTCACCCAGCTCTATGATCAGTCCAGAGCATGGGGAGGATAGTACATGGGGAGAAGGGCTGGGGCAGCCTCCGATCCCAGGAGCCCTGCAGCTCCCTTTCCACCTGAACCCACATGCTGAGGCCAGCTTCTGCTGAGGTGCTGCCCTGGGTAGCTGCCCCAGGCTGAGTTTTATTCTCCCTCCTCCACCTCTTCCCCCTCAAGATGGCAAGAAGAAGAGTGATAGTGGCACTGGCGGTGGTGGTGGCAGTGGCAGTAGTGGCAGTAGCAGCCGGCCACCGGCCCCACAAGAGGACATAGCCTCTGAGGCAGGCATACCCCAGGGAGAAGCTCAGGCTCGAGATGACGGCGACGAGGAGGGGCTGCTGACACACAGCGAGGAGGAGCTGGTGAGACCTCGCCGAGGGTGGGGCTGTCAAGGGCCGGAATGGGACTTCGCAGCAGGGGAAAGGGGACCCTCTGAGCTGGTTGGCCCCCTGTGAACACCCTCCTCCCTCCTTGCGTGGGCTCTAGTGGGCAGGGGGTAACTACCTGTTTCAGCCACCAGTCTGAAGTCCCACTGAGTATTTGATCAGACAGTGGGCAGCTTCCAAGCCCAGGGCCTGTTCTGGCCTCCATTCTCTGTGTGTGGGTTGGAGAAGAGGAAATGTGGGCTCAAGGGAGCACACTGTGTCTGCAGAGTTCTAGAGAGCAGGACTGGGGTTACCTGGGGAAGCCACAGGGAAGTGGGTGTCAACTGAACATGAGAATTTTCTAAAAGCCACTGCTGCTTCAGCATTAAGTGGGCTGTCTAATAAGAGAGTGAGTGCTCCCTTTTACTGGAATTTAACAGGGAGCTTATGTTGAGTAGAGAGATGGATTAGACTCTTAGTCTGTAAGGTATGTTGTATACTTGCTACTCATTTACTTAATGAACACTCAGTTGAACACCAGACCCTGTAGTCCATTCTTTCTAACTACATTTAACCTTAGCAACAGTCCTGCCCTATGTAAAGTATTACTGTTCCCACATTTTAACCTGTGAGGAAACTGAAGTTCAGAGGGGTTCAGTAGCTTGCAGGGCCTCATAACTAACATACCAAGCCAGGATTGGAGGCCAGACCTCTTCAGTAGGTCTGGAGCTTTCTCCTTTTCATCACTGATGGGTTCCAGCACGAGGACAGATGGGCTCATGGCCATGACAGTCAAGAGGTCCTCCTCATGCCCAAGAGTGCCCAGCTCCTTTCAACCTAGCCTGATACATCCTCATATTCTCTCGGGCATAGTGTTCTCTATAAAGGCCCTAAAGAAGCCTTAGATACCCCAAAGATGGGGAGCTCACCAGTCTATAAGGTTTGTTCTGATCCACGGTTTCTCTGCACAGAAATGTGTCATCTGCCACCCATAGAACTCCCTTGACTGGTTCGTTGTCTTGCCTGTAGACAAAACCATCCTCTCAAGACCTCAAGTCAGCTTTGATGGCTGGTCCCATCGTCATTCCCCTTGGCTGTCACTTTCCCTTTCTGACTGTATACTTCAGATGCACTCTGGGCCCCAGGATCTTTCTGGACAGATGGCCCAGGGCAGGACTCAGAGCTTTCAGTGAGTGACGTGTGGTCTCTCTTCTCTCCTCCTCATCAGGAGCACAGCCAGGACACAGACATGGAGGATGGGGCCTTACAGTAAGCAGGTACGGGGATCCTGGTGGCCAGGGGGTAGGGAAGCACTGGAGTGGAGGTCGTACCTTTTCATGGGTCGGGCAGAAATTGTCATGAAGCAGACCTGGTAGGGTAGCACAGTGCCCAGGGATGAAGGCCCTCCCCATAGCCAGCCATCCTGCCACACCCATTTGTGGCAGGGGGCTTGGCAGGCTGAGGAAGCATAGCTTTGGGTGGGCTAGCCAGGCCCACCCAGCAAGGGTTCCTTCAAGTACACTCTGAACCATGTTGCCTGTCTCCACCCTTGAGGAGCTCCTAGTCTGGTGGAGGAGGACACAAACCCTCACCACCCAGTGTTGAGCAGGATGACAGTAGAGGGAGGCCCAGGTGGTGGAAGAGATGATGTGTAGCTGAGTCTGCTCATGATTGAGGAAGAAGCATTCTACGCTGAGGGAACAGCCTTAGCAGAGGCACAGAGCTGTGACAGCCCTTGGTGTGTGGCGAGGCCAAGAGCCTCCTGTGGCTGCAGTCCCAGCTCTGCATCATAGGGAGAGGACGCTGCTCATCATCAGAGGGTGATGACTGTGAAGGGGCTCACTTGCCAGGCTTACGGGCTTGGGCTTGATCCTGTCATGGGCAGGAAATGCCCTGTGTACAAGCTGCACCTGTTTTATCTGATTTCATCTACAACCCCACAAGGTTGTGATAGTGCCAGTATAGCAGATGTACAAACAGAGGCACTGAAGGGTGCAGGAAGACAGCACGTATCTCACGAGATTCAAAGGTGTAGTGATTGGTGGAGCCTGGATTTGGACACAGTGGTGTGTGGGCTCAAAGCCTACTTTCTAGCCACCGTTCAGCACCCTGCTCTGCCCTACCCTAGAGGAAACCCAGATCACACCTAGCTCTGCCTCCTTTCTGACCGCTTCTCTTAGGACCATGTTCAGAATAAGACAAACTTAGGTGCAGGAAGGTTTCAAACACCTGTGCTGCCGGGGAGCTACCTTGGTTCATGACACACTGGTGTTGTAAGATGCTCCACCAGCAAGGGCTTCCAGAACAGTTAAGTTTAGGAAGTTGTAAATATGCAGTCTTCCTCTTGGAACTTCATAGTTTGTTTTACCTGGGAGCCTAATTTTTACCTTGTCAAGCTAGTTCACAGGTGAGGAAATGACTCAGGGAGGGCATGAGACTTGCTCAAGGTTATGTGGCCAGAAAATTATATGAGACCAGGGCCAGACTGCAAGCATACTTCAGTCTGCAGACATCATTCCACCCTTTCTTCCCCCGATATCAAGAACACCAGAGTCTCTTCCTCTCAACCTTAGTCTCTCTGTCTCTCTCTTTCTCAGCCTTACAGGAGCAGTGGCCACCAGCAGGAGAGGGGCATCACTGTCCCAGGCCTAAAGCCAGGCACCCACCCTTGGATGCCACTCCTCAGCGGGTACCAGAGGAGAGCTGGCAGCAGGCACCTTTTTCCCCCGTGCATCACAGCCAGTGCCACATCCTCTGCAGGTGGAGTTACCGGCCTCCCCCTTCCCTATGCACCCTCCCTGTCTGCACTGCCCCGGCCAGAGGGCAGAGCACAGGGGTTTCCTCACACTCTGCCTTCCCTCCCCAGGACACTCCCAGGCTTGGGGTTTTTCTATAGGTTTGGAGGGGGGCCACAGGGAGGGGACCTTGACAATAAAGAGATTGGATCCCAACCTGTTCTGAGATGGGATGGTTTGTTTCTCATGAAGGTGTCCTGGCCCTTCTGCCCACTAGAAAGCCAGTCTGGTGTACCCCTTCCGTTCTCACCTACTTCTCTGCTCCCTAGCAGGGAGTCTTGTCTAGGGTGCCTAATACTGATCCATCTGAACCTTAGTTTCCTCAGCTAAAATGGCCATAGGGCTGTTGGGGAGGGTCAGATGTGCTAGTGCCTGTGAGCACACCTTGCTGGCTAAAGCGCCAAGTGCTTGTGACCCACTTGGTCACCCAGTAGTAAGTCAAGGCCTCATCTCTTTCCTCAGCTTCTCACTAAGTCTGGTCTTTGCCAGCTCTAAAATGATTCTAGAATCCACCACTTCCTCAGAGACCTTCTCTATCCTGGCTTCAGACACCATGGTTTTTTCTCTTGGACTTTGTCCTCTCACCAGCCCCCCAATCTCCAGCTTCTCCCCTACACCATTTCCCACCAGCCACCGCCCTCTACAGTGTTATTTCTGAAACGTGTCCCTTCCCTGTGTAAAATACTCTTGTCTGGATCTTCATCATCAGGACAAAATCCCAGCTCCTGAATGTGGGGTACATGATCCTGCTTGCTCTGACCTCTCGTTTCTTGTCACCACCCCTCTTTTCTACTCTCCTCCCCCCAAACCCCACATCTCAGCCTCAGAAAACACGAAAGTCCTTCACACTCTAGGCAGTTTTGGTAGCAAGGAATAGAGCACTACCCCGGTTACCTCAAGCAGTAGGAAATTTGCATCAGGATACACATGACCTGTCTGCCCATGTCTTGGGCCACCCGACGTTTGCCCTGTTCGCCAACAACTGGCTGGGTTCTTTCAAGCTTCCACTTCTTTACAGCTTACACATGGCCCATCACATCCTCCTAATTTCACCCCCCTTCCCCTTCCTTCTCTGCAATGAATTGACTCTCCATGTTCAAGTTCCCCAAAGAGAAACAACTGCTACAGCAGATCTTTTTGAGTCATAGGTTATAAGCACCCACCCCAGTCCAATGAACTGGGCAATACCAATATGGCCACCTAGGCTGGTCTCATTGGTGTGGGGCTGTGGGAGGGCAGCACCCAGAAACATGCTTTGTTCCAAGCCTGGCACGTACTCCTCTTGCTCTTACTTTCTCCACCTTGGTAATATCCACTCATGAAGCTGCTGCTCTAGTGTCACCACCTCTGATAATCCCCCAGACCAGCCGACTGCAATTCAGGAACTGCTTATTCCTCCTCTGGGTAGCCTTCTCCCAACAAAGGAAATTCAGTCCCATTTTCAGGAAAGGATTTGGGTTCTTTTCCTCCATCTTTACATGTTCTTCAAAGTTTGCAGGCCTGCTGGGATCCTTATTGAAAATTCCCTTTTTCAGACCACCAGTTCTATAGCATAGGTTCCACCAACGCTTCTGGAACCCTAGGCTTTGGCTCAGGTTTTGGTGGAGGATGGAGGCTGGCCTTGGGACAGTGCTCAGGCTCCCCGGGGAAGTCTGTGTTGTCTCATGTGTCCCTCACTAGGCAGCTTTCCTGCTACTGTCATTGGTAGGCCAGCAGTCTGAAGCCCCAGTGTGGCTCTGGGCTTTGGCATTCCCAAGCTCTGCAGAGTCCTGACCAGGACAGCCCCAAGGCAGCCAGGGTTCTGGCCCCACGCCCGAGCCAAAGCCCCCAGTCCCTTCTTGGCCATTGTCTCTTCATATGATTTGGAGCAATATTTCTGCCCCTTCTGTTAGCTGCCCAGTGGGATTGCAGTTCCCACATGTCTGCCTGCCAGGGACCCTGGGCAGGAGCATAGGAGGGAGTAGAGGTTTGTAAAGAGCCTCACGGCAGAGGCTGAGGCCTTCAAACTGATAGATCAGGCATAGGGTGAGAAATAGGCCCAATTGAACTAGGCTGGGCCAAGGCCCTGGCCCAGCTTAGTCAAAACAAAAGGCTTCAATCTGGAGACATAAAGAGGGTGTCAAGAGAAAAGGGCTAGGTTCACAGGGAGTGCCCCATTCCCCTGTAGAGTCCCCAGTGGAAAACATCTGTTCAATCCCTGAACCTCCCAGAAAGCCAGAGCCAGCTCTAGCAGACCCACTTGTATACCCAGACAGGTCACTGCTCTTCCTGGGTTTTCATGTCCCCATGTGTACAGCATGAGGAATAGCTGCCCTGAACTGGAACTTGGGCAAAGTCCAAGAAGGGGGTTTGGAGCCTGGTGAACCTCACACTGAAGGCATATAGCACTAAGCACTGTGTTCCCAGAGCCTAGTGCTATGTGCTGTATGCCCACTGCAGACCCTACCATGTAGTGCTTTACTGAGGCACTCACTTTTCAGAGCTTGGACGGCAGGGTAGACCAGCAGAAACTGTGGGCTTCTTTAGTATGTCAGGTTTGGAGGGCCATGAGAAGAACAGCAGTGGCCACGACACCTTCAAAAGCAGGAAGCATATGCCTCACCCATATCCCCATAAGGCCGTGCCTAATCACCCTGGCACCAGGACTTGGTGGACAAAGGGGGAATGGGAGTTCCATTCTGGAACCCCAGAAAAACCTCTGTACTACAGCCCCTGGGAAAGCTTATAGTTGGGCCCTTGAGTGGGAGGTTGGCATCCAAAACCCTACATGCACATGCCCTTGCTCCTTGAGTCTTGGGCCAACAAAGACATCTTTCATTCCACTGCTCAACAGTCTCCTGTCTAACCTCTGAAAACTCTAAAAGAAGGTGGTGAAGAAATGCAATACCAGATTCTGCCCAAATGACCAATCTCTAGATGTTTTCAAGATTTGAAGCCTCATTTGTGATCCTAGCAGCCATCTTGACAGAATACAGTAGCCATTGGGTTTACTGGAGTGTGAGGTAACAGGCCCAGGGCTTTTCCTCCTTATTGCTGCCAAAAAGGTTGGTGACCCTGGGCAAGTCTTGTTCTTTGCTAGGTCAGTCTCCTCAGTTGTTAAATGAGGGTTTGGCCTAGATCAGGGATAGTAAGTGGGTCATATATTGGTTACTGACTGTTGTATAACAAGTCACCCTGACACTTAGTAGCTTTAATAAACAATATTTATTAGATCCCAGCTATGTGACTTGGCTGGCAATTTGGGCTGTGCTCAGCTTGGCAGCTTTCATGTGTCTGTAGTGAGCTGGCAGATCAGCTGGGGGCTGGTTGGTCTTACCCACGTCAAGTGGTTGTCTTGAGCAGTGGAGCCACAGGTTCCCAGCACCTGGCAGGCTGACCCAGGATTCTTCACACCAGTGGGTTTCAGAGCAGCAAGAAAGGGCAAGCCCCAATAAACAGTGCTTTTCGAGATCCTGTTTGTAAGGTTCTACTGGCTAAAGCAAGTCACATGGCTAAGCCCAAATTCCTCTGAGTGGGAGGAGCTTCAAAATATGGCCATGATTTGTTTCTTATCAACCTCAGGCCTCATTACACTGGCTAACTCAGAATGTTTAGTAGTGGCTGCCTGTAGAGCTTCTTGAGGATTAGGAGCAACTTTTGGACTATTTGGAAACAGTAACATGATAGTAATGTCTCTTATGGGCAAAGACTTGAAACATGGGTAATGAGTGTCAGATATTTGCCAACCCTGGCCAGGTTGACCCATAAGGTCATATCCAGTCCCAGAAGGACAGCGCATATAGTGGGCCTGACAAGACCACAGAAATACAGAAGGCAGAGCAAGGCAACAGATTCTGAGCCCGGTGTCCTGGGTTTGGATCCCAACTGGATCTTCGATACATGAGGGCTTCAAGCAAATCAACATCCCTCCACTGGTGCCCAGATTCTTCATAATAAAATTATTCCTTAATAATAACCACTTCCTGACTACCTGCTGTTAAAATGCACATTTTACATTTACTTAATCCCCACAATCACCCTTAGGTGGATATAGAAAGAACTTGATGACAAGTTATAGAAACTGAACTCAGACCTGTTTAAGCAGGAGGAAGTTTACTGGCTCATGAATTGTAAAGTTCAGGGGTAGATCTGAAGATACGGGGGCTTGGGAGTTCAAAAGCTCCATCAGGAATCTGTTTCGTTCTAAGTGGTGGTTGAGCATGGCCTGTAAGGGCAGAGGGGGAGAGGAGAGAATCCCTAAAAGGAAGACAAGGGTTCTATTATTGGCAGAAAGGAGACTTGGCTGACAAAAACAACAGGTGTTCATTGTGTGGTTATGCCCATTTTATTGATGGGGGAGGGGGTTCAAGGCATGGCCCCATAGGGAGGTGATATCTCTATCCTCTCCTTTATTGGGACTCTGATGGACAGAATACTGCAGTGGTGATGCTATGCCAGTTTCCCAGTCTAACACTTAAGAACTAGCAGCTTCCACTTCTTGGCTCTTGGGACCCAGCCACCATTTTTGTGAAGCAGCCCAGGCCATGTGGAGAGGCCATGTGTACATGTTCAGCTGACAGCCAGTATCCACTGTCAGGTGTATGAGTGAGGAAGTCTTTGAGATGACTCCAGCCCAGCCACCACCTGACTGAGAACCAAGTAAGAACTGCCATGTTGACCCCAATCAACGCTCAGCACCACGAGGAATAGTAATAAAATGATCGTTGTTTTAAGCCACTAAGTTTTGGAATGGTTTGTTATATATCAGTAGTAGATAACCAAAACAAACTGAGTCTCAAAGAGGTTAAATAGCTTGCTCTACTTTAGGGGGTAGGTTAAGAGTATATCTAGACTTTGTGTTGAACCGAGTTCCTGTCCAAACTTTGTGTGACCTTAGGCAAGTCACTTAACCTCTCTGAGCCTCATCTTCCTCATCTAAAAAACAGGAAAGAGTACATCCTTATTATGACAATACTTAACAAATGAGAGCATTTATTATCACCTAATCCAATCCAGATTCTGGTGATTTTTTTTCTTAAGAAGTAGCACCACAATTTGTTAATGAATATGAACCCATATAAATGAATATGTACCCCTACCTTGCTTGTTCCAGAAAGCATTTCAGGGGCTAGCTGTTTAGCTGAGTTTGTTAGGGTACAGTGTTGGAACACAAAGGT